CAAGCTGAGCAGGAAGAGGAAAGTGTTTTAGAAAGCAGTAGCTCCTGAGGAGGAAAAGAAATTACAATAGCTTCTCCTCTGGAGTCTTAGAGAAAAAAATGGACACAGGACTAACAGTTATGTACATGGAAGGGGCTTTTTGCTCCCCATCACCATTTCAATTGAGAAATACAAAGTCCACTCACCGAACAACGTGCGGGTTCCTGCTAGCTGTGGGGCCTGCGGTTTGGGATGCGGTTTCTGGCTTTGCCTGCGGTTTATTTACAAATATTGGCTCTTTCACGGCCAGGCCATCAGTGGTTATCAGCTGGTGCCTGTCTCTCTCTTAGGGCCTCCAAAGGGCCCTTGAAGACAAACGGATCCTCGGTGTCAGGGAGATACAAGCATGCAGAAGAAACCGAGGCTCCATGAAAATTTTGGTTAGAAACACCCTCTTTGACTAGTCTTGTTCCACATGGCATAAACATGGGGTTGTCATGCAGCCCTAATGTGTGTTTTCTTCACTCCCCCTCCTCCTGCCAGCATCAGAAACTAAAGCCATCTCTGGATTGTTCGGTAGCCTGAAAGCTTACATCCAAGAGAGGGCCATTAACTCTGCCTGGATTCAGTGAGTTGGTCCCAGCCCTGGCTTTGGACATGCTCCCCAACTTCTGACTTCTCCACTCTGAGATGCAAAATTAGGTGAACCTATGGCTGACCCTCCATGGACTTCCACAGACATCTCAGTCCCCGGTAAAAGCTGGGGAGAGGGGACGCCATTTCTTCTAGTCTCAGGAACTGATTCTCAAACTCCTGTAACTTCTATTTATCATGCAGAGAAAAGGTATTCCCTTGTAGACTTCCAACAAATGTGATGTGAAGGAGGTCAAGTTTATCAGTCCTTTTCAGGAGAATAGGGGAAAGACATTTTTTTTGAAGGGGCTCGGGTTTTGTTTCCCAATAATTGCTGGGTTTATATCTACAGAAATGCATCGTTAAATTCAACATTTTTCCCCCTGTGTATCTAACATCATGACCATGATGTAGACATTTGATTAGCTGTCAGTTTGTTACTAAGTAGTAGAATTGGTTTCTTCACCCAATTCTATCATCTGATTCCTTTCACCAGTTCAAAGTGGCCTTGCACTCAAGCTGAGTAAAAGCTGGAGCTGAGGTTTTACTTTTTTAGATTAGTTAGATAGAAAAAATTGTTAGGTTTGGTTGTTTAAAATTACTGTTGAAAACTTTAAAATGGTTGTGAATAACTTTGTGTTGTCTGTCTACATGTTAAATGACTATGCTTCTAGGTTAATGATGAAATCAGACAGGATTCAAAAGAAGAATCAATCATACATTGCTTTAATTTGGATATTTTTTTCCCTTTAACATATTAAATCAATTTGAAATGTGTATGTGATCTGTTAGCTCCATACACAGGTGGATGAAGCCACCGACCCAGCTTCTTAAAGCCCAGCCCTCCCTGATTCATAGGTTCATCATTTCCCCGGTGCCTCCCCACCCAAGGAGAGCCAGCCAGCTTAGTTCGCTGTTTAAGTCTATTTGTGAATAAGCCCTCACCACCTTCTTAGCATTATTTCGTACTGTTGCATAGATCAATCATGCATACATCCTAAGCTCCTGTCAGACTAGCTTCTTGCTTTCCCTTGAAGGAGGCACAGTACACATTATTAGTCAGAGATAGCTGTCAGCCCCTCTCCTCCCTACTCATGCTGATTCTCCACTTGGCAAGCCTTTTCCCCATTTCTAGCTGGGGGAAATGTTCTGCCCATTCCACAGGGCTCAACACAAAGACTGCATTCTCTATCATTTTTCCCAATGGAAGGCGGTCTTTTCCGTATTTGAACTCTCGTTGCACCTTGTAAGTCCCTCATCTCACATGTCACCTTCACTATGGTTTTTATTTATATATCTTATATATCCTATTTCCCCCATGTCTTAGGTCATAGCACAGATAAGGACTCCACAAAAAATTCTTGAATAAATAATATTTCATTTTCCTTTCACCCATCTATTCAGCCATCCATCCGATTATTAGGTATTTATTGAACATCCGTTCTATGCCAGGCACATGTAGCTGGTAAAATCTAAGTCTGAAGCTTGTACGTGGGTTTCAATGATCTATGCTATTCTCTGCCCTCATGGGGAAAGATTTGTTCTTATCATGCAGGAGTAGTTCTTCATGTCATTACCAACGATTTCATTATTTTTCAAGTTGCCCCCCATCGGCAAATTTAGCAATGCATATCAAGATTTTGCATTTGTGCACTAAACACACTTCTAGCTTCGTCTTATCCTTTCTATTTCTGTTTTTATTTACCCAAGCTCCTCACTTATTTTTTTGCATTATATGTATTTCAATAGCCACCTTGAAATCCTTCTGAAAGGAAGCAGAGTACCAATAAATAGAATACAATTACAAAAAAAAAAAATCAAGTAATTGTTTCCATACTACTAATTCACACGATGAAACCTCCCTGGAAAAGCTCTTGCAGGAGAGAAGAATTCAGTAAGATGTAGGTCTTTCTTGGACTCCATTCAAGAAGGCTAAGTTTCTACGGTAATTATAAGATGATCTTACTTTTAATGCGATTCCACTAACGTGGTCTTGAGAAAATTGCTAGGAAACACTAATATAATCATTCTAGTAATTGATGGTATTTGAAACTGCATTGTGAAATCTGGGACCATTTCACAGAGGCTGGGAAACATGAACTAAAACATATCAATTTACCTTAAAAATCTTTTTTCTAGCTTACTAATTTTTTTTTTTAAACCAAGATTGTTAGGGAGTTGACTAACTTTAGAGAAATAGAGACCAAGATTATAAAAAGAAGGAGATACTACTTGGGAGAAATGTCTCCAGAACCAGAGCGGTTCATAGGATCTTCACAAAATCAATACCAACGGTGTTTACTCTGCGTTCTCTCTCCTCATGCTACAGAAATTTCATACATCCACCACCGAACTATCGTTACCAACTCTCACTGCTAAAAGGGAGCTCTTTCACCCACGTTAAGATTTTGTTATTTTACACTCATATTTCTTTTTGGACATTTTTAATGAATATAGCCCCACCCCATCTATCTGGATATTTCAGGTCTCACACGTTGTATTTAGTTTAGGCAGATTTGTTGAGTCTCGAAACTAGTTCAAAACTTTGTATTCACAAAAAATTACTGATAATTAGTCTACAGTTCATCCCTAAGGATATATTTCACAGACCAGGCACTGTATCTTTAGGGTTAAATTTAGGGAAGAGAAAACACGGCATTGCCATGCATTACATTAAAATGACAACATTACCCGAGGAAACCAGAATTCTAAACAATTAATACAGAGGAATGGAAAAGAAGTTCTAGAAAATAGGAGTTGCTTGAATTTACTGGCATTCATTGGCCCTGGGTGAGATATGCAATTTACCTAAAATCATGTTTTAAAAAAAAAAAACTATCTTCAATTAACCTTTTATTTTATTCTATATTAAAGCCCAGGGCATCAACCAGGAAGACTTGTCAGGCTTGGTGGTTTTATCTGCGTTTGTCAGGGGCCAGTGCTTCTCATTCCCTGCCCTGGGAGCTCCCAAGGGCATAATGTTACACTTCGTTCTATTCCCATTGCTTAGCACTTGATACAGTCTCAGTGTTCACTGAGTGAAAAAATGGACTTTTGCCTCTTCTCTGTAATCCTAAGGCATACCAAGATGGTACGAACCTCAACCTTTTAACAAAGAATAGCTTTACATTAGTTGATGTATTTTGGAAAACTTTTGGCATAATGCTAGATCTGGGAGAGAGAGGGCGAGAAATTTGCTATTTTGCCCCCCTTTCAGGAAGCCCCACAAAGACTGGAGCTTGATCGAAACTAGGCCTTCACGTTCACACATGCACATCTCAGGGCAGCCGAGGGAATCCTGGGGACCCAAGAGTAAAACTGATAGACCATGTGTTTTTTCCTGCCGCACATTCTCTCCTCTAGGTTATTTCTGAGAAAATTCCTTTAAGAGTCCCCATTAGGGCCCGATGTAGACCTTACCAGGTAGGTATCTCTCTGGGCTTCAGTAAACCTGCTCTGGGAAATAACAGACAAAATATGTATCTAAAAGCGAGCTACTCGGGAGGAGTAAGGTTCAGAAGTGAAATGTGATCTCTAGGAATGCCATTACCTAAGTAGCTGAGCTTCAACAGTTTTGTTTTCAGAGGGGCCCCCACCGCTCAAGTGGTGGCAAATCTCAACAAACAACACAATTTGTAATTTTGGAAATCTGAAATAGAATTTGCAATGTGATCTCAGTGGCTGGGTCACATCTCCTTGTAAAGATTTTTATCTGATTAGAAAACAAGCGGCCTCCTTCTTCAAGGCATATTAACACCATGAAATCATGCTCCAACTATGCCCCCTTTCATTATATTAGCAGGAGCTTAGAGGCTGGTCGAAGAAAAGGTATGACCGAGAGTTAATTTCTGCCAACGCCCTTCTGGCCTTCACGGCAAGAGATGGCTAATTTTTTTTTTCTGGTCATTGAAGTAGCAATAAGCAAGACTGCTTTATGGTAACTCTGAAACCTCTGGGGAAATGGTCTCAGAGTCCCTAACCTTTGCTGGATCCTAAAGTTAGAGTTTGAAGACTGTGAGAACCTTGGTGAATAAGAAGAAGCATGCGTCTTCTCCATGAATTCGTTTTTGTGAGATTTCAGGACCAAGTGTTGCTTGCTGAGGAAGTGCCGGTGTCCACCTGCACACATCCTCGGGGAGCAGCTCTCAGCAGGGCGTGCTCGGAGGATCTTTCCCCGGGTGATCCCGGTGGTGGAAATGCTGCCTGGTGCCCACACCCACCTGCTTTGGCACATCTCCAGGAGGAGCTGTGGCCTCAGTGTGGCTCAAGAAGTGAGGCCCCTTGCCTCCGTAAGAAGCAAAAAGATTCAACCAGCAAAGCAAAGGCCTAGGAAACATTTGCTGCCATCAGCTCTGATGGTTGCACCTACGATAGAATTTCTTGCAGCCTCTGGTTCATTTATTTATTTATTTTTTTTACAAGGGGATCAGTGATGAAACCCAGGTGAAACCCTTCGACAGAACTATCCTGAAGAACAAAAGTAGCAAATGACAGGCTATGACTGGGGACTGACTGTGGGGGAAGGCTGGACTTTTGAAATGAGAGCCAAAAATGTTTTCACCCTCTAGCCCACAGGTTAAGTGACTGAAAAGAAATCGCCACATTTGTGTGTTTACTCCTACTCGGGAGAGTAATCTAACTCATCATTTGCGATCAGGGCCTCTGAGTTCTGTTTGTGTTTGCTTTTGCTCTTCGCTTTGCTACTTGTCCGGGTGTTGGCCTTAGCATCTGACATCTGCTGGTAATAGAAGCCTTTGTCCTCGGTGGGCCCGCCCCAGTTCTCCTGGCTCTCGCCTTCGGTGGCGTAGGAGAAACCCTCCTCCACCGAGAAAGGGTCATCCACGTCGTAGCGCTGGTACGTGCTTTGGTGCAGGGCTTCTTCTCGAGCGCTGATTTCCAGGGTGCTGTTCCAGATGCCGTACCCGAAATAAATGAGCATACCTGCAGCGGGGGGAAAGGCACAGGCGAATAAACAGTTGCTCTGGGATCCATGGGACTAGCCGGGAGATACTCAATGGTGAAAGCAGGGCTGGCAGTAGATATGTTTTCTTTGGTCTACATCGTGTCCGGAAAAGACTCGAATTAGATGTCATTCAAAAATTGGGATATCTGGGGCGCCTGGGTGGCTCAGTTGGTTAAGTGACTGCCTTCAGCTCAGGTCATGATCCTGGGCTTCCAGGATCGAGTCCCATGTCTGGCTCCCTGCTCAGCAGGGAACATGCTTCTCCCTCTGACCCTAATTCTCTTGTGCTCTCTCGCTCGCTTGCTCACTTTCTCTCTCTCAAATAAATAAATAAAATCTTTAAAAAAATTTGGGATATCTTGCATTAAGCAACCCATATTTACAGCTTCCCCTAAAAACGTCAGGTCTCACGACACTACTCCCACATTCCTATATGGCAGTTTTGGCTGGAGGTGAGCCCTGGCTGCCTCTTTAGATAGAATATGGGCTCTCTAGTCACCTCTGTCCCCACCTCCCTGTTCACTACACTCATGTAGGTGTCAACCAGGAATTTGCATTTTCCGCCCTGGCTTAAATATCTGCGGATCACCCACAGTGGGTCCCCAACCTTCTTGTAGCATTTTATTATCCCATACCCCCAATTAGGGATGCCATCTTTTATTTCACCACTGAGCAATGTGTATATATTGCCCTATTGTTTACTTTGCCATTTTTCACTCACCGAAGGAGTATTATATTACTGCTACTCAGAGCTGTTCACTTTCTTCTGTGGGCTCTCAGAGTGTCTGGTGCCTGCCGCTGTTACGGCCCTTAGAACGTTTACTGTGTGATTATCTGCACAGGGTGGTTCTATTTTATTTTTTTAAATTTTTATTTATTTATTTATTTTTTAAAAAGGTTTTATTTATTTGACAGAGAGAGACACAGCGAGAGAGGGAACACAAGCAGGGGGAGTGGGAGAGGGAGAAGCAGGCTTCCCCGCAGAGCAGGGAGCCCGATGCGGGGCTCAATCCCAGGACCCCGGGATCATGACCTGAGCCGAAGGCAGACGCTTAACGACTGAGCCACCCAGGCGCCCCAGGGTGGTTCTATTTTAGAGACTGCAGAAAACTGGCACTTAATGTTTGTTGAACGAATGAATGAGAACTCTGATGAGCATGAAATTTCCAGCGCAACCTCCTTAGTTGATGTCATTCCAAGCAAAGGGAAGAAACTTGTTTCCTAGTTAATATGGAGCATTAACAAGGGCTAATGTTTCATTTCTATTATAATTTTTTTGAAATTACATATGGAAATAGTTTGAGGGGTGCTTGGGTTGTGCAGTCGGTTAAGCATCCAACTCTTGGTTTCGGCTCAGGCTGTGATCTCAAGGTCTGCTCAGCATGGAGTTGGCTTGGGATTCTCTCTCCCTCTGTCCCCCTGCTCATGCTCTTTCTCTCTCTCTCAAAATAAATAAATAAATATTAAAAAATAGTTTGAGAACCCCCATTTTCTATCTTGAAAAGCTCATGAAGGCTAAGGGTTTGGAATAGCTGAGAACCATTGCCTTGGGGGGTCATAGGGCACGGTGATTAAGAGTGTGAACCCTGGGTTCAAATCCTGCCTCCATCACTATTAGCCATGTAACCCTGCACCAGTTATTTAGCTTCTTTGTGCCTCAGTTTTCTCTTCATGATAGTCAGTGTACCTATAACATGGGGTTGCCATTAAGATGAAATGAGATAAGCAGTGGCTTTCAACCCTGGCTTCAGCTGGAAGGTCTCTTGGGGAGTTTCTGAACCGCCCTTAAACCCAAGCCCCACCCCTAGAGATTCTGCTTTAATTGGTCTGCAGTGTGATCGAAGCATAAGTATGTTTTAAAGCTTCACAGGTGAGTCCAATGGTCAGCCAAGACCCGGAATCCCTTAGATTCGGAGCACGTACTCCATTGCCAACACCAGCCATATTAGGGCTTGGCCACCGGATGCCACTCAGTTATGCAACCCCCTTCCAGACCCCAGACACCCCTCTTCTGAGTGGCACTAGTCCGTTTGACTTTGCTAACCCTGCAGGCATCTGCACAGCTGTTTGCTTAGAACCACAAGGTCAAGTTCTGCTTTCCTCTTTGGTGCTTGAGAAATCCTGCTCCTTTTGAATTTGAAGTGGGTCTTTTTTAAACTTGGATTTCTCCCTCTTTGTTTTCAATGACTTTCTCCTCACCCCCTGCCCAATCCCCCAGTGAAATCAACTTGCCAGGAGCCAAAGTAAGCAGAGATTTATAGTCCTAATTGGTAATAAATCCTGGAGTTAATCATTTGCAGATGTAGCTACTCTCAAATAGCCACTTCAGTTTTCTGAACACAGATCTTCACTCTTTCTTGTTGGGGGTGGGGGTGAGGGGGAGTAGCCATGGGGGGATAGTTAATTACCCTTGTGTAGGACAAGGCACCAAGTTAAGGCCCCTTCTAAAAGGGCCAGCATGCTACTTCTTGGAGAATGCCTCCGTTGGAAGCATGTTTGAGACCTGAGAATAAATTTCAGGAGACCAGGTGGGATCAACAGGCACGCAGCTCTTTGTGCCCATTTTTGCTTTTTTGCTATCTTTTCTTAGACATTGAGGCAGGTGTCAAATCTTGCCTCCTATTCCTGCTTGGTCTCTATTATTATCAATTCTTTCCATCTGATCCCCTTCTCAGACCCTATTTAAAAATGAGTTATTTCCCTACTGAACTTAATACCATTTCTTTTCCTTTTCCCTTTGCTCCTAAGCTCTATGTTCTGCCATCACACTGCTCATCATTCAAGCACTGGTTTGACATCCGTTCTGACAGACCTTCCCCTGCCTCCACCCGGTGTGGTGGCGTCAGGTAGACTGATTAATGGACATTCTCTAAGAGCCTCATAGAATCCAAATATTTAGAACTGGAAAGAGTCTATAGATCTGTTTGAGTACCTTCATTTTACAAAAAAAGAAACAGATTGGGAAACGGGCCGAGGGCAGAAACAGCATTCCATACGGATAGAGAGAGGACTCTTGTATGCCCAGTCCTTCACAGCTGCCCCCCGCAGGCTGGTTTAGAGACTATGCTTATCACAGTATGTATTGAGTAAGAGGTTATTTGTTCTTTGGGAATGACTGTGTCTGAAGGAACATGTGTGCGCGTGAATGCATTGACTACGATTACTTTGAGAAAGCAACCCATGGAAATCTGCTATGTAAATATTTATGGGCCTTTTAATATTTGCTCTGAGCCCCTTATCATTTCAAAGGTGTGTTATTTTGTCTTCAAAAATATATTTCGGGGCGCCTGGAAGGCGCAGTCTGTTGAGCGTCCGACTCTTGGTTTCGGCTCAGGTCATGATCTCAGGGTCGTAGGATGGAGCCCCACGTTGGGCTCCGTGTTCAGCCCAGATCCGCTTGAAACTCTCTCTCCCTCTGCCCCTCTCCGCCATGCTCTCTCTCTCTCTCAAATAAATAAATTTAAAAATATATATATTTCGAATATAAGTGCTCTGAACCAAGAAGCGACTGTGTGCATGCAGCCTAATGGAATAAACGGTCAGCCCAGGCAAAGGTCTGGCGTTCTGTCTGACCCTTCTTGCTGGCCCTTAAGTTCAAGGAGAGTGGTGTAAGGCACCAAGGATTGGAGAAAAGGAAAAAAAGATGGGGACAAAGAAACAGAGGGGATCAAATGAAGTGAGGGAGGGAGGGGAGAAGGGAGGTAGAGAGAGCAGAGAAGCATGTAGTACCATCTGTCACACATAGACAAAGGCTTTGTGTCAGGGAGTAAACAGAGCTGCTAAAAGCCTCCTGTGTAGGAGCAGGGTGTTTTTTGTTTCTGCTCCTTTTTTTCAGCTGGCTTAGAAAACTAAGCATGAGGTAGTTTCTGAAAGATCTGTGGAGATTCTGGGAATTCTGAATCATCTAAACTGAACTTCACATAACACTTTTGGGTGCTGAGGTCTTAATGATGCATTATTTATGTTGTACCTTTTTCCCAAGGAGTTCAAAATGTTATACATGTGATTGTTTAGATTCCTCGTAGCCTGTTTGGGAATGTGTGTGTGAGAGTGTGCGCATGTGTGAGAGAGTGCGTGCGCGTGAGTGTGCGCGCGCGTGTGTGTGAGTGCGCGCGTGTGTGTGGAGGGCCAGGGAGTGGGAAGGTTAGGATTATGTGTATCTCACAGACAGGGAACTGGGGCACAGGACAAAATAAGAGATTTTCTACAGCAACACGGTTAGTGGTGGGACTGTGAATCCTCAGGGGCTCTCCATGTCCTGATCCAGGGTGTATCTCCCCTACCAGGGGTGGCCAGGGGGTATAGACCGATAGAAAACAAATTTGCTTAGCTTTTTAGTTTGAAGAATTCCGAACATATACCAAAGCAGAGAGAATAGTATAAAGAACCCCGTATACTCATCACTAGCTCCCTCCTGACACCCACCCTCCTGAGCCCTTCTCTTTAGATTATTTTGAAACAAATCCCTTCCATCCTATGCTTTATCTGTAAATAATTAAGTGTGTATCTTTCAAATAGACTTAAAAAAACTTAGTATCATTATCACATCTAAAAAATGATAATAATTCCTTAATATCATCTGATATCCAGAAGTATTAAAATTGCCCTGAATGATTAAGCATGTGGGGAAAAACTCTACACCTTATGAGACTATAGACTCACTCCAATGATGCTATTACTGCTTGATATAGTTTTGGGGCGCTGTTATTTGTCACTGGGACTGGCATCGTATTCTTTTGTAAACTCTTACAGATGGCAAAGTTTTATCTTTTGAGAGAGGATTTGCTTTCAGCATAAGCCAGAAGTCATCTGGAACCAAGCCTCAACAATGAGATGGCTAATTGATATTTGCATATTTAATCCTGCTGTTCCTTAAAAACTTAGATCCATTGCATTGTAGTTATACATCTTCAAGCTGTAATACATGAAAGGCAGGGGTGGTGTTAAAAATCAGAAGGGAAGGGCGCCTGGGTGGCTC